TTATTATCTTTATTTTCCAGAAATATGGTGATGCTATTTATCCCCAAGGCTGGATTTCTTTAAATTTACTCCTCTTGAGGTCCTCTGGACTTCTTTAATCTGTACATTTTGTCTTTTCCTAGATTTGAAAAGTATTCAGCCAATTCTTCTTTAAATATTTTTCTACCCATTCTTTTTTTCTGAAATTCCAAATACCCATGTTAGAACTTTTGAAATTTTGACGGTCTCCAGACCTTCTATTAATTTTTTTCTATTATTTTCTGTCTTTTATATTTGATGATTTCTCTTGATATCTTTATAGTCACTGACTTTTTCATTCTTAATTTTGCTACTAAAAATATCCATTGATTTTTAAAATGTTTAATATTGTATTTTTTAGTTGAGCAATTATTTTTTAATGTTTCCATTTTATGCTTATATTTACTGTTTTACCCATGGTGAGTTTATTTTCCATTGCCTCACTGAGCATGATTTTTATAGGTGTTTTAAAGTTCATTTCTGATAATTTCAACATAAAGTTCACCTTGGAGTTGGTATCTTTTGATTGTCTCTTGCTGGAAAATAGATTCCATTTTCTTGACTCTTTGTGTGTTGAGTGGTGTTTGAATTGTATCTTAGATATCAGCAGTTCTATGTTGCGGAGACTCTAAATTCTGCTACATTCTTCTAAACTTTTTTTTTTTTTTTTAAAGAAGGCATTTAATTTTATTAGACTCAAAATGCAAACTTTATCACATGTCTTATGGTGATAGCTTTGATCTTAGACTGCTTTGAGTGTGCTCTGCATGTATGCCAGCAACTTTAGCGGCATTCACATACTGAATTTGGGGTTAACCTTTGCTTACACTCTCCTTTCAGTGTACCTCTGCACTCTCCAGTGGTCTTGGTTGTCCTTGAGTGCATTCCTGTTTCCTCCATTCAGAAGTAATGGTCAAATTTTCATTGGAGTTTTATACAACTGGTACTATCAGAGTGACTGCAGCTGCTCTTGGATCAAAGATACAAACATTTTTAATTAATTCCATGCAGATCTGATCCCTTCTTTCAAAGTTACAACTCTCTTTCTTTCTTTGAAGATGCTCAGATAATTACGCTTTTTTCTAAAATAAAATATTTTTCTAGAGTTTATATTTGCTTTTCCTGAAAGATATGTTTGTTAGGAAATCAGTTCTTTACTACAGAAATGGGAATTATGCATTGATTTAAAATATATCTAAAGGCACTCAGGTCTCACTCTAAAAGGGTTTTGGGTTATTTGAATGTGATATTTAAATATAACTCAATTTTTGTTGTAAAACATTTCTAGGATTGCTTAAGTATTCCTGATAGAGGTAAATGCTATGGCAAATGAGGTGTTTACCTAAAACAACCATCTCCTTAATACTGGTAGCTGTTCAAGTAATTTTTTCAAAGACATATTTAGTTTTAAAATGAAGAAAGCAAATTTAAAATCATGTGTCCTGATTTTTCTCCATAGCTTTATGTCAGCCTCTTCTTACTTGAAGTTACATTTAGCAATTTAAAATAATAATAAAGTCCATTTACCCAGTAGACAGGCATTTAAAAACAACCACCATTTAGTATATAGTTAAAACCCTCAATTCCCAAAAAAATTTAATAGGGAAAGGGAAATAGGTAACAAATAGGAAAATTTCTAGCTTTACCTAATAAAGAAATTACTGTTGGCTCTACTTTTTGCTATGTTTTATTTTATTAAAAAAGAAACGTTTGAAAAGATAGAAAAACATAGGAAAAGATTATATATTTGATATTATAAAATTTTAAATAAAGGAAAGTTGATGGAGCAAGTCACACTGGAGGAAATCTGTGTGGTTTGATTTTTTTCATTGATCCAAAAAGTATTTCAAAAATTTCACACTTACACATCAAAAAAAAAGGTTTAGCACTAGGAGAAAAGTACAGAATGGAAGAAGGTGAAGGAAAATCATCATGATTTACAATTTATATGATTTTCTACATCAGATCTACAAAAGAATGTATTTGCAGTGAGCTGAGATCCGGCCACTGCACTCCAGCCCGGGTGACAGAGCGAGACTCCGTCTCAAAAAAAAAAAAAAAAAAAAAAAAAAGAATGTATTTGCAGTCTCTTACAGCTAATAAGAGGGCTCCGAAAGAAAGTGAACAATGTATAAAAATTAGTATTTCTGTGCCCAGCATTAACCAATTAAATGATAAACTTTAAAATTGTTCCATTGCTGTTTATAATAGTGTTAAACTCCAAGTTACTTAAAAAAAAACATGGAAAATTAGTACAGTGAAAATAATAAAATATTTTGAGATACCTGAAAGAAGTTCTGAATGTAGAGAAATAATCATTATGAAATGTCAATATCAAGATACCAATTATCTTTAAATTATAAAGACAATCTCAGTCTTAATTTTTCTGAGTTGTATAGAAATTTATAAATTAATTCTGAAATACATGTGGAAGAGTAAAGGGTGAAAAAATATCCAAGATCATTTTGAGTGTGTAATAAGAGACTTGGCCACTCAGATATTGTATGGTTACTAAATTATAGTTTTAAAATGTGGTCTTGGTAAAATATAGGAAAATATATCAATGGAGAATTGAGAGGGCTCAGAAACAATAGACACATTCATGTGGGAACTTGGTATATTGACAGAAGTAGCAATGTAGGTTAACGAGAAAAATGGGGATCGTTACAGGAATTTAGCTGTAAAAGATGGCTAAAGGAAAAAGTTGACATTGAATTGCCTGAGGTAAAGAAAAAATTAAAGCAAAATTGAGACAGAATAAAGATCATACACGGTTATCTTTTAGAAGAAAACACAAGGAAATAGCTGTATTAACTCAAGGTAGAATATGATTTCTTAAGTAGAACACTGAACATTAAAGGCACAAATCCTCATGTAAAATACTAATAGATTTGATTACATAAAACCGCTATTTCAGCCCATGTTTGGGAAATAGCGGTTTTATGTAATCAAATAAGGGAGTAGAGTCGACAACTTGCAAAGCATTCATTTGAATGGGAACTATATTAGTTAAAATAAATGTACTTGATTTATGTATACACCATGAAAAGAACTATAAAATATACTATTGGTTAAAATATTTGCAGAACAATAGGAACATTTTTATTTTGTTTGTTATTCCTAATATATACCTAAGGTGCCCTCAGGTGGGAAAAATTCACATCAAATTTAGGACAAGGTTACCTTTAGAAGTGAGAAGAATAGGACTGAGGAAGGTTGACAAAAATGAGTGTCTATGCAAAACATCTTTAAGTATTAGAAAATAAAATACAACAACATGGTTTTACCTCAGTGAAGGAGTTTCTCCCAGAAATACAAGATTGCTTCAAATTATGAAATTACAAATACAACACATCACCATATTGGTGTCTTTAAATGAAAAGGATAGAACCATCCTTATCTCAGAGGATACTGAAAGAACAGTTAGCTACCAACCATTCTTGATTTTAAAAATTATACCCTTGTTAAAATTGCTGGACAAATTTTTGTTTAAAACATGTTTTTATTAGGTTTGGAACAGATATGAAAGAGTATAAAACATTTCAAAGATATAAAGAATAATGATCACCTATATGTAAATTTTCTGGTATTAAAAATGGTTTGTGTGTGTGTTCTTAATGTGATATGAGTTATCACTCTAGAAGTATTTTCATTAAAGCCAAGAATTAAACAATGATATCCTTCTGAACAGTTTAACAATTTTTTGTAGGAGTAACGAAATCAAGCAGAAAAAAACAAAGTTAAAAATAAAAGAAAGAAAACAGAAGAGGATCCTTATTTGTAGATTATGTGACTATATTCTTAGAAACCTCACAGGAATGAAATAAACTATTTGATACAATAAAGAATATTCAGTAAGGCTGCTAATGTTAAAAACATATATGTAAATTATTTGCTTTTATATGTAAATAATGACAAGTTTGAAAAACATAATGGAAGAAGTGATTTTATTTACAATGGGCACCAAAAATATAAAAGCAATATATGATAGCCACAAAGAGAAAATTTTTAAATGTTAGAAAAAGTTTTTAGCAATAAAACAGTATTGCTTTTGGAAAGGAAGATTTCATATTTAAGATGCAGTAATTTGCCTTTTCTAAGTTGATATGTTATAGCAGTGACTTTTTCAAGCACTTACAGACAGCTGATAACCACAAATTATCTTATTTCATCTTCTAGACTCCCTGTGAGTTTGAAAACAAAGTAAAACTCAAATTTTGAAGTAATTTACCCAAGATTTCACTCCTGCCTCATAATTAAAAGGTGTTCTCACCTTATTTATCCTAATTAGTGTGTTTCTTGGAGGTAGAACCATCTCATTTGCATTCATGTCTCTAGTAACCATTGTAGCATAGGCAGTTGGACTCAGTCTGAAATTGTCACTTGCCTTTCTATGTGAGGAGTCACACATTTCAGAGGTTGACAGAAATTGGGCAGCTAAAAGAATACCTTTTCTGATGTAGACAATGCTAGCCAATCATTTTCTTGTGTCCATATAGTCTCAAAATTGGTAGATTTTAAGGATTTTAACAAAAGTTTGGAAATCCAAAGTCTTTCTCTGAAATATTTGGATTTTTCAATATTGGCAGCCAATTGAAAAGGTAATGGCTTTCTCCTGTTCAAATAAACCTCACTTTTGGCCAAATTGGGCCTGTGGCCTGCCTCTTTGTGACCTTGGACTTTTTCCATACTACTTTCCATAAATTCTGGCACACTAAAATCCATGGGCTTTTCAGGTATGAAGCTACTGTATCTGTCTATTCCAGAGCGTGACTAACTAGCTCTTTCTATACTACCAGTTCTAAAACTGAGTTGATCATTGTGTGTGTGTGTGTGTGTGTGTGTGTGTACCTGTTTGAAAATGTTTCTGAGAGTGACTAGAGATAGCCCAATTGAATCTCCTTATGTCAATGTGTAGGAATTTGATTGTTCCCCTAGTGTTTTATCAAGCAGTCATGTGTTCTTATTTGTCTTTCAATCAGGTATTTTTGATCACTGTCTGGAATTTTGAGCTATATATGATCCCTTTGGCATTGTTGCTGATCTTTGTCTACAATTTCATCAGACCTGTGAAAGGCAAGGTCAGCAGCATCCAGGACAGCCAGGTAAGCAAGCATTTGGAGTTCTGACATTTGACTGCCGAGAAATGTGTTAACAACAACAAACTACCACCACCACCAAATCATGGCCCAAGTCCATTTCGTTTGAGATGTGAGGCAGCCCTACAGATGCGCTCATTTTGCAGTGGAGGTCTTCTATCATGTGTAATCTGGAGTCTTCTTTCTGTGGCATCTTATGTTCCTGAGTCTTGGCCTGCTTGAGGGGAGCCTCTGGTTCATGGTTATTATTTCCATGCTGGTAGCATATGTCTGTGTGCTCATATGATTCTCTGTAGAGTTCCTGTGAACAATCTCCTCAATCACCAACGAGACCTTTGCTGCCTCTGTGGGCCGTTGCTGGGCATGCAGAGAGCTCTGCAGGGCTAACTCTGGCCTTTCCATGAAGGTATCTTATGCAGTGTTCTCTCTGGCTTGAAGGCTCAGGAGATTCCCAGAGGCTTGTCAACTCCCAGGGCAATCAGAGAGCGGGTGGGCTTAGACCCATCTATTTGCAGGTGCCCACATTTGTCTGGAAATTCCCAAACTTCCTGTCTTGTTGAAGAAAGCAAGACCCTTTCTCAAAGACATCACTCCGCATCTACTGATCCCACTTCCACTCTGACTCTCCTGCCCCTGGCCCCCTCACTGCACCCTATAAGATCTTTTTCTGCTCTAGGTGGCCAGGAACTTGTATTTGTAGGCTTTTTTTTTTTCTTTAGTGATGTAATCTAGGCATTCCAGATTCAAGAACCAAGTTTTTTAAACAAAAATCTAAAGTCCTTGATTAATTTCCTTTCTAGATAGATCAACTTCACATTTGGTTTCCCAAGAGTCAATCAAATCCTGACTGTTTTTGTTTATTTTTCCTTATGTCCTCATAATGGACTTAAGGGAGGTTTCTGGTTTCACTTAGGAAGGAAGGAAAGTGGGAAAAATGAGTATTGTGGCAAGAGGAAAATTTCAAAATTTACTTTCAGGCAATTTCAAAATTCTATTCTGTTTGATTTTTAATGTTTTAATTTTAATGTTTTAATTATTTAATGCAATAGGCATGAACACATATCAGTGAGAAAATAGAACCAGCTAATAAATGAATGACTTTAATAGATCCATTTAAGGACTAGGTTTCACAGAGTTATAGATAATGGAAATTTTTGCAAAGAAACATCTCTAATATCTGTGTTGTCAACAAATATTTTTACAATGCTTATGCAGGTTTTATGTGCCCACTGTGTATATATGTTTATAGTATGTGCATGTGTGCATGTATGTGTGAGCATGTACATATACTAGCATACATGTGCATATTAATATACCTATGTGCACATAAGTGTGTATGTATGTATAAAGCCTTTATTTATCAAACATTGAAAATAATTACCTAATTTAGTTCTATAACACAACTATGAAAGAGGCAAGAACTATTTTCATTTTATGTCTTATGAAACTACAGTGCATATGATAAAGTGATTTGCTTAAAGTCACAAAGCAAAAACTATTGAAACCACGTCCCAAGCTAAAGACTTCTCCTAAATATAGCGTTTTTTCCCTCCCATAGCCTGTTTTCATTAACTTCCTGTTTATCCACTGGCTTTCATGAGACATGTTTGCTGCCAATTGTGAATAGGTTAGTTCCCCAGATGACCCATGAGTACCATACAAACTGCTGACTGCATCTTGTGAGAATTCTAGAAGGTAGGGCTATACTGGCCCTGAAGAAATTTCTTGATGACTGCTCCGTGGTTTTATGGAATGTAGCAGAGTATTTTCTGGATACTTCAGAGTTACTCCTTTTTAAGAGCATGATATTGTCAATTCTTTTTACTATTGGAACAATGACATCTGAACAGCATGCCTGACCTTTGCAAGGTTAAGCAGAAATGCAAGTGTTCAAGCTGAAAATAGAACCTGTTGTCTAATACTGAGCCTTCTTTCCAAACTACTGACCCTATTTTATTATGTACCAACAGATATTAGTTTTTAAACATTGTGGTGCTATGATCAAACTCTGGCCATTAAATAGCCAAGATTTTTACATTAAACAAGCCCATTAGCAGTACAGCTGGTGCTGTGGCACCTGAGCTAAAGCCAGGCACCCTTCAGTCCAGCTCTGAGCCTTGAGTTTCCTTCCCTCACCTGCCCCTTCTAACCCTAAACCCAGAGTAAAATAATAATGCCACAGTGAAACCTGTAACTTATTTTTAAGATTGATTATATTCAGACTAATGCATTTTATACTGTCTAATGTTTCAGTAATGGCCCCAAAGGGAGACAGCAGTCATTATAATAACAATGAGCCTAGCACTACTGGAGTATGGTATTCTCAGCCTTAACTTAGCAGTTGGTTCATTTGTCAGAATAAGAACAACACTGTTTACCGAAAGTACAACTCAGCAATGCATTTTTAAAGCTGGCTGCCTTCAAAGGGCACTGGCCTAATAGTTTTATTTATAGTCAACAGTTTTATGTAGATTATGCTTATTGTTTAGAGTCCTGCCACAGTGTCCCTGAACTTTAAAAGAGTTATTTTTTAAGAGGTTATAATGCATTTCAAAAACATGAATGCTTAAAGTCTGTAGGCAAGCTTTAAAATGTGTCTAATTTGCATTTGTTAATTTCAGTTGATGTTTTTATAAACACGTTGTGGGATTTCCTTTCAGGAGAGCACAGACATAGATGACGAGGAGGATGAAGATGACAAGGTGAGTATGTTCAAGAACACACAAAAAAACACTAGTGTTGTCAACAGATAGCATTCCTCCAGGTCGAATCTCTCTCCCCCCACTTTTTTTTTTTTGTATTATAGAGTTACCAGTATAGTAATATTATTGTAACTTTTTAAAAGGATATCCATTTTTAAGATTTTTTAAAGTGACGTTGAAAAGGGTAAAATAGAAGGAATAATTGAAATGTTATAAAAAACATAACTATAGGAGGCATTTTACTGGATGCAAGCCAAGATTAGCCTTCCCCTTCAGAGATAAAAGGTAGCCTAGGAAGTCAAAAGTAAATCAAGTGAAATTGCTGTTTCTTTCGGCTCATGTCTGCACTCTGTGGGGTGGTCACCCACTTCCGTGCCTGTCATTTTCCCAGCTGTTCCTGGCAGTGTTTTCAGCTATATGTCTGTGTACATCTGTCCTTTTCCTTCTCCTGGGAGAATCTCTCAAATCTGCTGCTTTTGTTGTCATTACGCTTTCAGACAAACCTTCTGGAATAAAATGAAACAAGTGAAATGCCAAATGAAATGCTACTAGCTTAATGGACTTCCAGTCTCCTTAACCTGTGGGTATCTGGGGCGAGGGATGGTAACATGTAGGAGGCTTGTGGAGAGAAAAGGGCAAAAGGGGAAACCTTGAGAGTAAGTATCCCGGGTAAATGCCCATTGAATAGAAATGTATTCAAAGACACTGGCTCTATGATACAAAGAGCCTTAAAATTAATTGAGTGGACCAGATGGTTTTGCCCATTTGAAGCAAATGGGGTGGATTACAAAGTAAATCTTATTTGTTGTGTTAAGAGGATCATTAATAGCAAAATAATAAAATCAACTATAATACTTTTAAAGGAAAAATGACCTTTTTCAGAAAAGGGGTTGCACAGACGCAAGTTTCTTCATGATGTCTTCATGTTAGCGGTTTCTGAATGATTAAATCATTGAATATTGTCAAAGGAAAGCTAAGTTAATAAGGTTTATAATGGGATGTTTTACCAAAAAAACAGAAGTATTAATGAAATTATTTTAAACCTGTATGAGGTGATAACTACAAGTCTAGGCCTCCTGTTCTTCAGACTGGCCAGCTATCAGGTGGGGGTTCCCACAACCCCTTTCTTGGATTCAATGAATTTCTAGAATGACTCACAAAATTTAAGGAAATATTTACTTATATTTACTGATTATTACAAAGGACACAACGCAGGAACAGCCAATTGGAAGAAATGCACAGGGCAATGGATGGGGGAATGGGTGTGAAACCTCCACACCCTCTCTGGGCACACCCTGGAGCACCTCCATGTGTTCACCAACCCAGAAGCTTCCAGAATATGGTATTTTTGTTTCTATGGAGGCTTCATTACATAGGCATAATTGGCTGAATCTTTGGGCATTGGTGTTCACGTCAATCTCTGGCCCCCTCTTCCTTCCCTGCAGGCCAGAGCTGGGGAGGACTGAAAGTTCTAACCTTCTAATCACATGGTTGGTTCCCCTAGCCACCAGCTCCCCCATCATTAGAGGCTTTCCAAAAGTCACCTCGTTAACAGAAATCCAGGTGTGGTTGAAAGGGGCTTGTTATGAATAGCAAAAGATGCTCCTCTCACCTTTCTAGCTCGAGCTATTTTAGCAAGTGAGGATAAAACCAAATATTATAGCAAAGATGTTCATATCTCTCTTATCACTTAGGAAACTCCAGGAATTTTAGGAGCTTTGTGCCAGGAACCAGGGACAAAGAACAAACATACATTTCTTATTATATTACAACATCACATTAGGCAAAAATCTAAATATTTATAAACCAGGCCTGGATGAAAGGAAGATTTCTTCCTGTTTGGCCAAGCCTGTTTAAATGAACCACCAGTAGAAGAGGATGTCCTCTACCCTTTAGGAATAACTGTGACCATGTGTCTTTGGCCCATCTAATAAAGGAGAGTATCCAACAAGAAGATGAATAGAAACATGGTATTCAGTGACTGGCAAGCAACAAAATCAGGTCATAGTCAAGACCAGTGGTTGTCAAGGTCTAGTCTACCACTGATATGTACCTCAAGAGCTACCTAAAGGTCTGGAGAGACAGCCCTTTGGTCTGTGCTTTAAACCTTTCTGGGCAAGGATGACTGAAGAAGGAGTTGGAACGGCAGCATCCACAGGGATAAGCCTGGGAGCTGTTGCATTCATCTCAGCATGGCCCAACCCATACCAGTTGAGCCCACCTGTCCCACGTTGAGGGCACTGGCACTAGGGTTTTCCTCAGTCCCCCCAGGGAAAATTTATTCTTAACATGTTTTTATTATAGTATTTTAATAGCACTTTTTAATAGACAAGTATAACCATAGTGGTTTTGCTTTCCCAATTTTATATTTCTATGAAATCTTCTAGAGGAATAAATCTAAAATGATATTTTGACTTCTGTTTATGTCTTTCCTGCTTAACACAACCCTTCTATTGTTAGGAAAGACGGGCAAATTTTTCCATCCTTGTCCATCTCTTTTCATTCTTCCTTCTGTAAGGGATTGGTAAACTAAAGGGATCTTCAACTTCCAGACTTTTTGAGTGCACATCCACATATGTATTACAGCACTTGGTTTCTTCTCTGTGTAGATCAGCTTCTACCACTGAGATGTGCTTGTCATAGACCAGGACATACAGTCACTGGGTGACTCCCCATCATAGTGAGCTGGAAGAAAGGTCTTATCCACTGAGCCCTTCTGGCTTCTGTTGTGTGTTAGACATGACAGACCATGCTTCTGGGAACTGTAACACACTCAGTGAGAGATGAACTGTTTACAAATTATAAACACACAGCCATTTTGTTCAAAACCAGAAGAGGAGAGAAACTCCTTTCTACCCAAACCATCCATCTTGAAGGTGACACTCTTTAATTGCCAGTGCTCCTTCCCACCAAATACCATCACGGACGACTGTGGAAGATAAAAGCGTGCCGGGGCCTGTTGGCACAACTTCCTCGGGAGATGAATGCTTTGCCATGTTCTGCCTGTCTCTCATGCACAGACCAGGACACTGTCTGGGGTCTGTCATTCTTTTATTGTCTGGAACAGGGATTATTGTAAAATGACATCACTGTAACCCCTTGTTCCTTAGCATTGTGAAAAGTTCGTGGTAGTAACTTGTATTAGAAACCAGATTAGACTTCACAGTTTTGCCTTTTCTTTTGTGGACTTTCAGTGGTAACATAGAACTTTCAGGTAACTAGGTTTTTGCCTTTTAGGAGATGAAATGTACAAGCTAAACTTTGAAGAGAGGAAATCCCTCCTTTCTAATACCTGATGGCTCATGTAAGAAATTGCTTGTTACAAGTCTAGTTTTCTAGGGACTCCAGAACAAACAGATAATAGCTAAGTTCAGCCAACAGCAATCAGTTGACATTTCCTATTTGTATTAGATTCCATATGTGGAATCCTTCCATGTGGACCTTATTTGTACGGATGGATTACAATGAAAATTGCATTAATTTTCTACACAGTAAAGGTCAGTAATTGAATCATGAACCAAGAAACTATTGTGTAAAATGCTGTATCCCATACTTAGGAAAGGTCATGCAAGACAATAATATCTTGTTTTCATTGCAGAAGGTATAAATACTTGCATTAGAGTTTCTTTCTTTTTCCAGCCCAACAATCACTTACATAGAATATTTCAGCATTTTCTATTAACATCAGGAAGAAGGAATCATAAGGGCATGTAATAAAAGAAAAAAAGCCCTGCTTAATGCTATCAAAAAGAAACAGTGCTCTAAGGCTTGCATTGTGGGTTGGTTTGTTCATAACTAGGTTGTCAGAAATAGAACTTGAATGATCTGTCCTTTTAGGATCATCAATGAAGTCACAATTGCCTGACAGTGTTTATGAAAAACAATATGACCCTTTTATATCAGTTGTAGATGAAAAACAGATATGGACATTTTCCTTTAAGAAAATAAGAAACATCCATTTTTGTTGATTGATTGAGGAGCATATTATAATGGAAGGATGCAAATGGATATTGTATCTATATTCTATTTTCACAAATTAGTTTGTCATTAAAATTTAAGTACAGTTTAAACTATCAATTTCAGTGTTTAAAATGATTTTCCGTCCTCTAAATTGATTAACCAGTCCCTTCCTCATTGCCCAGACAGGGCCTTCTTAGTGAGAGAAGCACATGGCATGTATCTAGAAGGAGTTCTCACTGTGAATTAACCTGTAGAGTCCTTTGGATGATGTGGTTAAGTCCACCGTGCCTCATTCCCTGTGTTTCCTTGTGCCAGAGAGAGAGAGAGGAGATGATCTATAATATCCTAACCAGACAAAACTCTTGTTCGTGGAGGTCTTCTTACAATCTAACAACAAGAGTAGTTTTGTCTATAACTCATTTGTGCTTTTTTTTTTTTTTTCTTTGAGACAGAGTCTCGCTCTGTTGCCCAGGCAGGAGTGCAGTGGTGCCATTTCGGCTCAATGCAACTTCTGCCTCCCACGTTCAAGTGATCCTAGCGCCTCAGCCTCTGGAGTAGCTGGGACTACAGGCATTTGCCACCACACTGGGCTAAGTTTTGCATTAGAGATAGGGTTTTACCACGTTGGCCAGGCTGGTCTGAAACTCCTGGCCTCGTGTGATCCGCCTACCACGGCCTCCCAAAGTTCTGGGATTACAGGCATAAGCCACCATGCCAGGCCTGTTTGTGCTTTCTTCAGAATGTCTAAAACATAGTAAATTGGTTAGATTAGTAATTTTTAAAACTATGACATGAGCAGTGATACTTACAATGATAAAGTGTTGTATTTTTAAGAAAATAAAAAGCCAGAGAGTATCTTTGAATGGTTAACAATAGTTAGTTACACGTGCACACACTCACCTTCAGGGATATACAATTTATATACAGGGCATATTGTAAAAGACCTGGTTATGGATGATTTTCAGGGGAATAAAGTGTATGGGCATTCTAATTTAAGTCCTTTTAATTTGATTTAATATAGTTTTTAGTGATGAAGTGAC